GTGTGGTGTGATGTGTGTGTGTGTGTGTGTGTGTGTGTGTGTGTGTGTGTGTGTGTGTGTGTGTGTGTGTGTGTGTGTGTCTGTGCGCGTATGCATGCATGTATGTATGTTTTTTTTTATTGTTTTTTGTTTATCTACATTCACATGTACATTTGGCTATTAATTTATTATCATCTTTATCTACTATATAATTTGTATTCGAAAACTGCACTGAAAAAAAGACTTCCTAAGCTATCAATCCCAAAAGAGGTTTCCGATTCTCTTGTCAGGTTCGAATATTTCTTCTGTGATTTCTTAAAAGTTATTTGGTTTTATGAAGCTTTATAAGAACATCTGTGAGGACGTTGGTTTCTGTTTAATATAATTTGCTTTGGAAGGAGAAAACTGTAGTATGAAAGAGATGAGGTTTTGCTTAGTTCACCGAAAATGAATAAAAGATGATATAAAAATAAAATCGAAGTTCACCGTAAAAAAATAAATAAATAAAAATAAATGAATGAATAAAGAAATAAGGTTTGTTCACTTAAGTAATTTTTGGGTAGTCCATAGTTTTTTGTTTATTCATTTTTTAAAAAAGTCTTGTCTAGTTCAGCTAAATATTTTTTTTTTGCTATTTCACTGAAGAAAAAGTTTGGCGAATCGAGTTATTTATATCAATAAAGTCAAAGTACTTTCCGATTCTCCATTTTTTAGTTGAAATGTTTTACGTAGTTCGGTTAATAAAATGAACATGAAATATTTCTTCCATGACTTACACATTTTTTATTCTATTTTAATACCTGGCTTCACGGTATATGAACGAATTGAAATGAAATATTCACATAATTGGTGTAACTCTGAAATCTACAGCAATAAAGTTTTGTATATGATGTGCCGACAATGGGTCATAATTATAGTCGTTAAAGTCAATTTGGAGAATGCATGTTATGAGTTGCTGTCAATCTATTCGGATATTTAATTCAAGGTTTATTGGCCAGAAACACATGCACGCACAATTTAACGCTACACAGTGCACACGTACACACACATGCACACTCACACATACGCACACACACCACACACTCACACACACTTACAAACGCTTACACTTACACACACTTCACACACACACACACACACACACACACACATAACACACACACTACGCACACACACTTACACACACAAACACACACATACACACACACACCAACACACTTACACACACACACACACACACACACACACACACACACCACACACTACACAACACACACACTTACACACAGATTAACAAAAAAACAACCAACTATTGCGGTGAATGCTGAAAGAAAAAGACATTCATAACACTATGGGTGTAACAGCCAAACGACACAGAAAAAGACGCAAAACACGCATGCGCATTTACAGACACACACACACACACACACAAAAAAAAAAAAAACACGAAAATGGACATACAGCACATAAATACGTGAGCACAACCTCTTACAAAACCACGCCCATTTTCCCCACTTGACATAATTTTTTTTTTTTCCGTTCGTGCATATGTCTTAGATCTACGAACGAGAGAGAACGAGAGCGAAGAGAGAGAGAGAGAGAGAGAGAGAGAGAGAGAGAGAGAGAAGAGAGAGAGAGAGAGAGAGAGAGAGAGAGAGAGAGGAGAAGAGAGAGAGAGAGAGAGGGGGGGGGAGAGATATAGATAGAGATAGATAGATAGATAGAGAAACAGACAGACAGACAGACAGACAGAAAGACAGAGAGAGAAAAAAAAATGAGTGAAAGAGAGAAAAAAATAATTCAAAACGAGAAAAACCAATCATAAAAGAGAGCAAAACAACCCCACCTCGCCAACAGCAACTCATAACCCCCCTTCCCTTCCCTCCCTCTCCCTCAGGTGTCCTGGATCCGCGACGCCGACCTCCACATCCTGACGGTGGCGCAGTACACCTACACCGCCGACGACAGGTTCGAGGTCATCCACTCCCCGGACTCCAACTCCAACTCCTGGATTCTGAAGATCAAGTCAGTTCAGCCTCGAGACTCGGGTCGCTACGAGTGTCAGGTCAACACCCACCCGACTGACCCGATCACGTTCCCCGTCTACCTGTCTGTCTTCGGTCAGTCGATGCGATTTCTGTTCGTCTTTCGGAGTTCTTGGTGGAGTTTTGTTTATTTATTTGATTATGCATGTATTTGGTTGTTTATGTATATGTTTGTTTGTTTATGTATATAGTTATTTTGTTTATGCATATTTTTTTATTTATTTATGCATGTTTATTTACTTATGCATATGGATATTTATTTATGCATATAGCTATTTATCTATGCATATTTTTATTTTCTTATGCAGAAGCTTTTTTATTCCTTCAATTATTTATTTATCTACTTATGTATTCCTCCAATTATTTATCTATTCATCTATTCAATTATTTTATCTATTCATCTATTCATTCAACTATCTATTTATTTTTAATGAATCACATTGTTCATTGCATATTGAAGATTAATGGATTTTCGT